TGTATTTGCCAAGATTGTAGTTGAAGGAATCATAAGTGGACAGTATAGGTCTTAGGGGGCAGTCCTGTTTATGCGGTTTAGGAATGCCATGAGAGTAATTATACAATGATTTTTGATAATGTATACATATCTTTACAAAATTTTGTAGATTATTAGTAAACATTACAAGTCTTTTGTACACAAAAAATCAGAGCTTTCAATAAAGTATTTTTACTAAAGATTTGTTTGTGAATATATCAAGTCTGTTTCATTTCTGGTCCAAGTGCCAAGCGTTATGATTAAAACACTATTCCTCATCTCAAAAATTTCCAATATCATCTGTGTATTCTCTAAAAACTTTTTAAATACATTTCAAATGTTGGTTTTCAGTAGAACTTTATATTTCATCCGTTATTTTCTCTACCCTAACTCTATACGGAGTCCGTCAATTTGATTGACCTCATAACCACCTTACAAAATTTGGATATAAATATAAATTATGTTTCTTTCATTCTAGAATGACTACAAATTGTAACATAAAAACACAAATGTTTAGTCTAAATGGCTTAAATCTCATAACATTATACATTTATATATATATTTTTTATTATATTGACCTTTCAGCCATGCCTGGCTAACATTACAGAAGTTGCAATGATGCGGTGCAAGTGAACTCATGCTACCATCTCCAATAATATAAAACTGGCCTTTACATAGTGACTTGTCTTGGCTGTGTTTTAGTTTACTAGTATTTTGTAAAATACAGTTACATTTCAGTTATAATACATTATATATGTATATACATTCTTACAATTTACAAACAAGTTCTTAAAATTATTTTAATTAAATATAGAACAGTAAATAAAGTATAGCAAACAATTATCTCTTCTACTTATAACCTTTGTACTCATTGTGTTTGATTCAGTAAATGTAGTGATATCTCAGCAAATAGAAAAGATAGGAGGTTCATATTTTAAATTCTAGCTTGTAAATATTGGTAATTTGAGTTTCTAATCTTTAAGAAACTATAGAGTCTGTATTTGGACATCACAAACATCTAATTTTAACCAATGCTGCATTCAGCCTACCACATGACACAAAAATGATATTTAGGATTTATTTTTTAATATTTACTTTAAATTAAGAAATTAACTAATGTAAAAATACTAAAATTTGATACAAAACTTATTGACATACATTCATAAAATAGTAGTTCAATAAAATTTTTAATGCGACTCAACAAACATGGTGACATGGACTTTGACCCGTGATCCGTATCGATAGGGTTAATAACATACTCATTACACAATATATTTTTTTCTTGTTGATGTCTAAAATAAGGCTATATAAATATCTTTTAAAAAGAATTTCAGTAATGGGCATCCCACTTACCAATGTTATAATTATTTTCTAACTGTGATTATAATTAATTATAACTATTTAATTTCAATTAAAAAATTTAAATGTTTATTTGTAAGTATTTTTATTTTCATATCAATTATATTATTAGAAAAAAAGATACAAGCTTTGAAATCACTGTATTATAACCTGACTGAGCTGATCAATTACAGAATATATTGACATTATTTTAACTTTTACTTATGTTAATTTAGGACAAAATGTTCAGAGTAGATTAATCCAAAATACTATATTATAGTGGAATCTCTTCTTGTATGTAAAAACTATAACAAATTTGGCTACAGTGTTATACAACTAGCTTTAAAAAATACAACACTTCATTATCTGAATAAACTTTCTAGTTTTATTCTTATTCATTCCTCATTGATTTTCAAACTTTGTAAGGTAAAGTTATAGCTATCAAAAGTTTTATTTTACAAAATAAATTGATGTCATTCCAATTTTTTATAATTTTTTACCTTTAACTCAGTCTACTTCAAGGCTATCAAAAATACTAGGTTTTTTTACTTTGGCTAAGTACTTATTTGCCAGTGAATAAAATGAGTTATGATTATTAATTTCTCTTGGTTGGTTACAAAATACTTGAGTAACTGTGTTGTTATAGATAAAAAACCTAAGGCTCCAACATTGTTTTAAATACACTTATATCCTGTAAAACAATAGTGAATTGGAAATAACAAGCATGTAGAAGAGCACATGGTATTGTTGCAACAGATGACTTTTAAGTGAATAAATCTTTTTTTGTTTTAAAATGTTAAACAATGCAGTTATGTTGACCATGTGATAAGACTGATTAATACTGTTTAAAGTCCTTTGTAGTTTAGCACAAACCTACAAAATGGGGTATTTGTGTTGTGCCCACCACAAGTATCAAAACCCAGTTTTTAGTGGTGTAAGCCCTCAGACTTACCATTGATCCATTGGGTGTGTGTGTGTGTGTGGAGTGATTAGTGATCTTTTACTGCGATGAAAGAGGGCACTACATAAATTTATACTCAAATAGAAGGAAAAGTTACATTACTTCGCATACTAAAAGTTTTCCATGTCAAATCTTGCAGTTGAATTATTACTGCTATTAACTTGACACTTTTCATTTTAAAGGACAGAACACACAAATGTATGATCACTTGACCAATTAGGTCTTTGATCATATTTATAGTAGCTTCGGCATGATGTAAACACTCCAATGTTGTTTGTAGATCTATACTCGAGAAAGCAAAAATGTTGAAAAAAAAGGTAACTTAATAATATGCATTATTATAGCATCAAACAGGAAAAGATACCCCTTGACTTTGTTGAGATGGAAAACATTCATAAAACTGCTAAAAAATGGTTAAATTAAAGCCTAATCAGTGTAGATAAAATAAATTGCTCAAGGAAGTCGAGAGTGCTCCTAGTTTCAACATCAGTGCATTCCTACACATGCTGGTTTCACAAAAAGTGTTATAGATGTTTCATTGATATAAAATAATACATGGCATGGTTAAACAAAGAAGACAGTTAGGCCCACTAGAAAATGAAAAGTTTGAAGTATTGCTATCAAGACTATTTTGTGAATAGAAATTATATTTTTTAGACCCAAATACAATTTAGTTAGGAAGCCTGATAAATTAGAGTGTATTACTGTGGTATTGGTTAGTAATTTATAATTTTTCTGTATTCCAAAATGCTTATATAAAATCTACAAAAAATATTATTTTCCACCTCCATATGTGAATTTGGACGAGACTTAGCAAGTATGGCTCATGAGTCCAAACAAGGACTTCCTTGCATCATAAGTAGTAGAGATCATTGTTTTCCAAATATCTTTTATTTACTGTTTTATGTTTTAAGAAAAATAACTTAACTGACATTTAAGTATTTATTTGAAAATATTAGTTAGATATATATATGTATATATATAAATTCAAATCGCTATTTAAAAAAAAAATTCTCACTTTCCAGTCATTATCCAAAAGTCATAACAGAGATTGCCTGTGATAATAGTACCCAAAAGAATTGAGGATATCCCATCTATCAGACAAAATCCAAAAAAGCAGATGAGAAACCAGTCAGCAGTTGAGGAAAATTCATTAAGGCTACAGAGTTGAGTGCTTATACCCACAACGTCTGAACTCTTACTGCCTTTCACTGTCTGCAGCCAGTTGTGGGAAGGCAGAAAGTTAAAAGTAGAAATACGATAAAATTAAGCCATCCAACATTTTTGGGTGCTATTACCACCGGCAATCTCCATTATAACTTTTGGATAACGACCGGAATTTGTGAAGTTTTTTTTTAAATAGAGTTTTGAATTTATATTAAGTTCATTATTGTTTTATAGTGCTGATCTTGATCACCTATTGACAATTAATGTAATTGATATAATAGTTATAAACCTATACCTCTTATATATGTACACACACACACACACATAATGTATGGTAGCCAATATGTTACTGTATTTTACAAAGTAAGAACTTGTGTTATTTTTCTACTCGTTTACATTGAGGTAGAATAAAAACAACTTATACAAAGATATGGTGATATGATGAGAAGAAATGTTGTGAAGACAGTGACCTTCCATGGATAAGTCTAAATATGTCAGCATAATGAGTGGACAAACCCAATTAGTTAACAAGACAAGGTATAAACCACAGGAAACAGAAGGGTTCAAGAGAATAAAAAGTTGGGAGCGAGAACCCCAAAAGGAGGCAGTATGTGTCAACCCGATCAGGATCGGAATGGGAGTAAAGGTGGTAGATGGAAGGTACAGAAATGGGTGTGAAAGCCAAACCACCTTCACAGGCAGCAGAGGTCTTAGGGAGGAAGAACCAATCTGGATATAGGACGACATAAAAGATGGTAGACGATTCTGTTAACATTAATGGCATGAATATCAGATTGATTATGTCCACAAGCTAGGACGAGAAAGAAATAAGATCTGAGGGAGAGGTGGTATATGGAATACATTGACAAAGGTTCAATCGGAAAGGGCAGAAAGAACCACACTAAAAGTCCCAATCAGGCAATTCAAAGGAACATGGAAGACACAGGACACGAAAAGTGCCGAAAAGAGGGGAATGACATGGGAAGACAAAACATTATGAAACTTGGAGAAAATGAAAGGTGTTCAAAACGGCCGTCCAATAGCTAGAAACAGTCAAAGTGGACAAGCCTTTGTCAAAAAAATAGGTTAAGAATTGGGGAAAATGAGGAACAAAAGGGTGGAAAAGACAGAAACCATGCCAAAGAGACCAAAGGCAAAATGTATACCATTGCCTGTGGTAAATAGACCTGGAAGAAGGTCTTATTGATTGAGAAAAGGAAGATGCAAAATTGTCAAAATAACTCAAAACAAGATTCCAGAGAGTTATAAGAAATGATGGTGGCAGACCCATTGAACTGCCCATCTCTTAAGGATATTGATGTGGAAAACTTACTCCCCAGGAGACCAAACACCAAAAAAAATGGTGAAAGTATTAGGAACTGTACCCCAACTGGCTACAAAGACACTCATGAATAGGTGCAAGTCCAAGGAGTGGGATGGGAGAGAAAGACTGATGCTCAATCATGTGGAAATGTTTAAGCCACCACCACAACAAAAGCTAAAGAGATGGAGGTAGAGAAACAAGAAATGGCAATGGATTACAGGGTATATTCCACTGATCTGCAAGTCTACTGAAGGGGATACAAAAGGATATATCATAAAAACAAAAGGAGACATGAGAGCCCTGGAAACAGAAGCTCCATATCTTGGAAATATAAAGGAGAAGGTAGAGCCCATCCAGCAAAAGAGGTGATAATGACTCCCAAATGAATCAGATACTGAAAATGAGTCAATGCTGACTTAAAAGCCTGACCAGCCAACCCAAAAAGGAGAAGAGAGGTTGCAGCAAATGATACATCTCAGGACAAAGCTGGGAGAAGGGTAAAATGCAGATCCAATGAGTGCATTCTCTGTGTGAAAGTACACAGGACTCAGTTGAAAACACAGGTGTGAGCTCTGAAAGACAAAGAAAGCTCAGGATAGAAAAATTGTGTGATCCAAGGCTTCCTACAAAGTCTGTTCACAGGTGGACAAAGTTTAAGAGGAAAACTCCCACAACACTTAAAATGTCTGCATAAAGTAAGAGTGCCAAATAGAGTTCCCCGAGATAAAACTGAAAGGGTCTAACTCCTGAAAATAAGACATCCCAATAAAACAAATACCAGAAACAAAGAAGTAAGTAAGCTGGGCAGTAGCTGAATAAAAAAATGGGGAAGCCTGAAAAAGCTTGTACAATCTTTCCCAGTAAAGCTGTCAGGGTAGTGATGTACAGCCTCAAAAGAATAAGGTCAAGAGGACCATAAACTAAAAACAAAGATGAGCAGATTGAGGGTAAAAGAGACACAGTAAGAGAAGACGAAAATCCCAAGGATGGAAGAAGAGATTAAAGGGAAAAGGAGTAGATGAAATAAGAAAATATTCAACAACAGGCCACAAAGGAGCCTAAGTTTAGGGAAGATGTGGGAAATTGAAAGTCTACAGGAAGCATATGCAGAAAGAATCTCAAATAATGCAACAATCAGGCAAGGGAAGATAATCTTAGGAGTTGAGGTGTATACACAAAGCTCACCCAAGAAACAGTAGAATTTTTGTAAGCTGTACACCATATACAGCACACTCACATTCAACTGTCAACAGCAGACCATACCCTACATGGCGAATCAGCACTCAATGGGTTAAAACCCCCATCATGATTTATATTTCTCTTCTTACTTCTATTGCATCATGACAGTTACTTTAATATAAAAATGTTGAAACTTAAGCCTAAATTTTACTAAAGACATCATTCTGTACAACTGTATTCATAATAACACAAACACCGATTCTAAGAGATTACTTTATATACATTTATATGCAAGAATAAAAATCTTGAACTTTCATGAAAAAAAAGCTGTGTTTACCTTACATCCTTGACTCCAGTAGCTTGGATTTCATCCAGTATATCAGTGTGATTCATAGGTGTCTTAGGATGCATCTCTAAAACCTACATTTAAGATAAAGAAAGATATTTCACAGAAAAGCAGACTATGATGCTGTTGTGCAGAAAAGTTTAAAGTATGAAATCAAAAACAAATCTCTGTAATGACTATACTGTAGATGATACACAATGTTTTTGCATATTATCCTAGAAACCAGTAACATTTCAAATGAGTAATTTATACCATAGTATCCTACTCTGATATAATGACAGTCAATAATTAGAAATATGATTCATAACTTTTGAGTGTATGAATACAAACCAAAAATCATCTACAATTTTACTTACTACTTTCCACCTTGACTTACTGTAAAGCTTACAGTGACCTGTCTAAATACATATACTGTTTTACAATGGTTGCATTGTAGATTCTCTATCAAATCATGGTACTATTACCTGGTGATAACTATATGCAATTAGAACTGAGCATTCAACTCAATAATTAGATAAAATTGATTACCTATGGGCATAAATTAGATAAATTAGTGTCACATAAAATAACTGATTAATCAAAATTACAATTAACTTAATGTCATGAAAATAATAAAGTAATCAAAGTTAGTGTTTATGATTATAATTATTTTCAATTACTCCAACTATTCATGTCTAGTACCAAGATTCAATGAGTTGAATGTAATCAATTAATCAATCATAAATTTACACTAACTTCTAATTGCATGTTACAAATATAACTCACTAAATGTGGAAAGTTTGGTTTGATCATCATTTGGTGAGTAATAATTCTCTAGGTTTTTATCTTTAAGTATAACTGTTCAATACAACATAAACAGTAAACAACCATTTCATAAAAAATTATGTTATGTCATTGTTACTAATATACAAACTAAAGAAGTATGTGGTAATTCTCCCTCTAACATAAATAATTCTAAATGCTCCAAATGTACATGATACTCACATACAAAAAACCAATAACTTATAATCACAAGCAAAAATCAGTCAATACCTTCCTGTAAAATGTAATACTGAATGTCCATAAAATGCCAACTGGGTCCCAATGCACAATTTCCACAACCACATAAACAAGCACGTGAAAATGTTTCTCAGAATTCGTAAAATAGTAACATATTTAATATTCTTATTACTCAAAATATATATAAACATGCACATACACACACACACACACATATATATATGTATATACACACATTTCTCAATAAAATGTGTATTGCGAGCTAGTATGTAAGATTTTTCAACATGTAAAACCAGTGATGCAATGGAAAAAAAAAAGAGCCTAGTTATAACAGGTATACAAAACTCACTCTTTTTGCTTAACAAACATTTATGATGTGCTCATTTTAAGATTGATATCAATTTTTGTCACGCTTTCACCAAGTAGGAAAAAAAAAAAAACAGACAAAAGTTTTTGCCATATTTGTGATATCATTATTACAAAAGTAATAAAGATGTTTAAATGATAAATTGTAATGTTTAAAGAATAAATAGCATTAACTGATCATATTCAAGTAATCAATTATTCTCACATAAGACTTAAATAGTTGGAATTATCAAAGATAGGAATAACTATAAAGACTGATTTTGACTAATTGATTATTTTATGTAGGTAATTGATTATACAGATTAATAAAATTAACTGCCCAACTCTTTTTTGTCACTTTAGTTTAGCTCTATGATGATATTTTTCTTATATAATAATTTAAAATATTTCATTGTGTAAAAGATCAAAAAGTTTTGGTTACATTATACTTATATTTGAAATCATGAATAAAATCATAATGATTGATAACTACTGCATTTATTATATACAAGCTAAAATATCCACCAGCTGATGGAGAATGCTTAAACTTAATTAAAATAATGCAAGTTTAACAGCAATTGTATATTTCAAAGTAATAACTTGAACATATACCTAATCTCAATTTTAAGATGATAACAAAGCTTCTTCATAAACAACATTTGCAATTTGCTTTCCATCTATCAGTAAATAAAGATTTTGAGGTGATCCCACCCTTGAACAACCTACATATCATTGACCATGAGAAATGCATGGTTGTTTGAGAAATACTCCAGAAACTTTCATACTTTGACCTTGAATCCCTTTAAAATATTCAACATTGTCTAAAGCATCAACCTGCCAAGATTGTTTGAGATTGACTCAATAGGATGGGAGTAATTAACCAACAGGCTTTGCAAAATAGAAATAGTTAAGTTCAATTTTGACTCCCTTAGGATATTCCCCATAGTTCATAGTGTTCACATACAAATTTTGGTTCAGATTGACCCAATAGGCTCGGAGGAGTTAGGGTGCAAACGAACACACATTTAGTCTTTACACATATAGATAGACAACTTGGATTAAGAAATAACATCCACACAAATTTTCCCCTTCAGCAGCCACTATAGAAACTGACTACTGTATGTTAGAAAAATGCTTTCACTGAATTGTTTATTCCTGAAAATATATGAATTCTGAAGCAGGTTAAAAGTTACCTAAAAATGTAATAAAAAGTTGTCAATATTACTATTAGAATTAATTAACAAAAACCATTACACAAATAATGAATCGCTAAGGCTTAAAACATACTCTTGAGAACTGCATAGAGATATTCTTTCAATCAAAAAACAACCATTTATAACCATATTCAGCCTTCTACAGGACAGCAAATCTTGTAGCTATGATTTAGCTTTTTTACAAATTAAACATTATAACAATCTTTCTAATTATCTTTTTTGTGGAACCTTATCAAAAACTTTATTAAAATCAAAAGATACACAATATCATCTGGAATGTCCTCACCCAAAAAAACAAAACAAAAACAGAAAAGTTATGAAAAAATGTCATACACATAAACCAAAAAAGCAATGCAAACTTTTTTTTCTAAACCATGTACAGAGGTGTTCAATAAACGTTTATCATAATAATCAAGTGTTAGACCTAATAGCCTACCATAATGATTTTAACAGTCTCAGAGCTCAACATTAATGGTTGGAAATAGTTTCAAGTATTCAAATAAGCTGCAATTATTATAATATTAGGAGTATTACAGTGTAGAAACAAAAAGGATGAGTTCCGGTCTCTAGTCGAAATGGAAGACTTAATGAGAATTACTGACAGTTGGTTAGATTTGAAGAACTTAATAATTGTTTTCAAAGAGGGGATAGGGTAGCCCCTTATAAAATAATTGAACTGTTTGGACTGAAGACGAAAATGGTGGTCATAAGGTTGAATGTATAGGAGTTACAATCAATGTTTCAAGAATAGAAAATATTTAATTGGAAACTGTTATAAGCCATCAGACAGATGAGGTCAATGAAAAATTGTATAAATTAGATCACATTCGCTACTAATAATAATGCTGATGCATTAATTATAGATGTTAAATTTAGACACACTGAATGGGATCATATCGAATCAAATAATGGAGAAACTAGTTTTCTAAACCACATAATTAGAGATCCAACTGAGGAGAATTTCATTTTAGATTTACTTTTAACTGCTAATCATATCATGGTTCCACAAGTTCACTTGCATGGGGGAAAGCATTTGGGGAAGAGTCAACACTGCATAAATAGATTTGATGTTGTACTACATGTTCAGAATGACATTAAGTTTTAACTTCTGATTCTTGGAAAGCCAAGGATTTTAAATGAATTCAAAAATTAGGTATACCAGCCTCTCTCTGTTGTTTTTCGTACATCAACAGATAGTACGTAGACACCTGATGATTAAAAGTTGGTAATGTTACTCCAATTTTTTAAAGGGGATGATAAAAGCAGCCCAGTTAGTCTTATTTTGTAGTGATAAAAATTCTAGTCTGATAATCTGATAAAAGAATCTTTATAAAATTAGTCAGTGAAACATATCATAAAAGAAAATCAATATGGCTTCACAATAGCGAAACCTTACTTCACTTATATTTTTCTTTTTGAAAATGTTACTTATCTGGATAATGGAAAAGGTGTGAAATTAGCATACTCATATTTCAAAAAGCTTTTGATAAAGTGCACGAATAAATAATATTAGCCTAAAAATCAAATCAGTGATAGTTGTGAAAAATACTAGTTAACACTTTCAATACGGGCTTGGTAAATTTGACCGACCAAGTGATCCTTTTGTACTCGTTTAAAGTCTTTATAGATTTCATACTTATAACTCTCAATATAGTGGGTATATCTTCACGAAAGTTGGCAGTCTTTCAGTTAATAGTACAAGTCTTTCACATACAAAAACTCATATTTCTTAGTGAAATATTTTAATAAAATTAAATATTTGGCCATGTATATATTAAATATTTG